GGGGGTGCTCTGCAACTTACCTGGCTGCTTTTTGCTCCTCGTGGCCCAAATGAGGGCTGCTGGGAGCAGGGGGTGGGGCTTGTTGCATGTGCCCGCCCCCTGGGCTCCTTACTGCTGGAGCTCCACTCCTATGCGCTCCCGCAGGAAATGACCTCTGCTCATATCTAATAGATTACACATACTTCATATTCATCCCCTGTCTCAGGTATGGGAGGAGGTGGCGACTGGAAATAGGGCCCTTTCTGTGAGGGTGCCCCAGTTGTGAAATGACCTTCCTACAGCTGTTCTCCTGCTGTCTAGCTTGTTAGGCACCAGGCATCAGATACAAAAAAAATGTATAGGCATTTTTAATGGTCTTTATATCTTGTGCCCTTTCTTATCCTCTTGTTATCTGTGTGAGAAGACGGGTAATGTGAAATTCCCCTCGAGTATTAAAGGTAGAGTTTAGAGCTTATTGGTCCCAGGTTCAGCTCCTGGAACCTCCAGTTATAGGCAGCGAATGCTAAGAAAGACATTTCTCTACCTGAGATCCCGGAGAGCTTTTGAAGTCAGTGTGAGGCAGCGTCACATGAAATAACAAAGCAGCAGTAAAAGATAACTACTTTGGGTTAGTTTAGGGTTGCCAAGTCCAGGCTGGGAAACTCCTGGAGATTTTGGGCTAGAGCCTGGGGAGGACAGGGACCTCAGTGGAGTACAATACCATAGAGTCCACCCTCCAAGGCATCCATGTCTATCTAGCAAGGAGAAGGCTCGATTAAAAGCAAAAGAGAGAGAGAGAGAGAGAGAGAGAGAGAGAGAGAGAGAGAGAGAGAGAGTACTCTTTAACATGAGTATTAAAGGTAGAGTTTAGATAGCAGCAGCTGAATAACATCTCACAGAGTAGGTTTTCCTCTCTGCACACAGATATATAAGACCAGGGTGTGCCCAGAGGCTGTGTCTCTTAGGCTCTTCGCCTGTCAGGCCTGGAGCGGGGGCAGAAGATCAGCCAGCAGAAGACCTGCTTGACCATCAGAAGCCTCCCCTTACTTTCTTGCTGGTTTTGTTCTTTACTTTCTTGCTGGTTTTGTTCTTTCTCTGTGTCATGTTAGCCGTTTTGGGGAGAAAAGCAGAATATAAATACACTAAATAAATAATCTTTGTTCACGTGTCTAAATGTTATTGGTATTATGAGCAAAGAGAAGATCATGATTTTATTTCGGTCCGCCGGCCTCCACATGGGATCTTCTGGAATCACAGCTGATCTCCAGAATATAGAGATCAGTTCTTCTGGAGAAAAATGGCTGCTTTGGAGGGTAGAGTCTGGCATTACACCCTGTTGAGGTTCTTCCTCCCCTCAAACCCTGCCCTCCTCAGGCTCCACCCCAAAATCTCCAGGAATTTCCCAACCAGAGGTTGGCAACCCTAATTTTATTACACAATCATAATGCATATCTACAGAAAGAGGGTGGTTTAAAAAACGAAATGTTTTAAAATAATGCGATTTTGGAGCAAATGCTCAGAAAACCTTAACAATACCCATTCAAGATGATATTCCGAATGGCTGTGGATTAACTACCACTCTGTGTGACACAGCAGACACAATAGCCATCATACGGTCTTGTGAGAGAAACCTAAGAGCAGATTCTAGTATCATTGGCGAATTCCATGGCAGTTGGGTTTCATTCTAGGCTGAGCGAGGCGGCATGGCCCCCGTCTGAACGCACCCTGTGTGACACAGCACACCCAATAGCCATCATACGGTATTGTGAGAGAAACCTAAAAGCAGATTCTAGTATCATTGGCAGATTCCATGGCAGTTGGGATCATTCTAGGCTGAGCGAGGCGGCATGGCACAATGGCAGTTGGGGCCTACAGGCAAAGACCCTGATTATTCCACTGCAGCTGCTGTTCCACAGCCGGCACCTTCCT